AGCGTAGAAACAGCGATAGAAACCAATTGAATGGACAAACGATACAGGTCGATTCCCCGGCCGACGACGTCAGTTGGCCACGGGAGAGAACGAAAGATCCCCCGCCGGCCTCGTACAGGATCGGGACGGGATCTCTGACTCAAAAGGAGGCAACATGGGAACGAAGGAAAGTCATCTCTCGTTCTCTACCGCTCCTCCGCTATCTCGCGCTCCAATGGACAATGAGACAATGGAGTGACGTTTGCGAGACGCGATAGCAGTCGGATTAATTCTCGATCGATTCGAAAACTGAGAACCGTTTCTCCGCTCCGAGAGTTCGGAATTCCTACTCTTCCGTAAAGACGCGCGTGACCCGCGACTCTCGTTGACCGTTGGACTTGCCACGCGAACGAGGGTCTTGTTCCAACACAATTTCAATGCTCCCCGTTTGGTTGCGACACGACGCACAGAGAGAGTTAAAGAGAGAGAGAGAGAGAGAGAGAGAGAGAGAGAGAGAGAAGAAACGGCGAGAAGCCTACCGTGTCGAGGATCGAATTATCGTTATCATAACCATCTGCTCGCCACTTTTACGAGCTTAAAAGCTAACGCTGCCGATCGTCGGGAAGATCAAAGTAGGCCGATGCTTCCGTTCTCGAGGATGGAGAATCGAACGCGAAAACAAACTCCCCTGGCGAATAGATTATTCGAGAGCGAGCAGAGAACCGATCGGTAAAGTGCTTCTGGGACCGCTCAGAATTTTATACGAAGGGGAACAAAGAGTTCCGCCTCGCGAGTCGGTGCATCCTTCGGGGGTTCAAATATGTGATGCATCTGATGCGATCGTAGACACGGATTGGAGATCAAAAGGTTCGCGTCGTTCGCAGAGTCCATTCGACAAACGTTCTTTCTATAGTTTCGCGCGACGAGATATCTACGCGGCCCTAATTCGTTCGATGCTCGTCTTCTATCTCTAAGACGCGTCGTTAATTCTCTCTCTCTCTCTCTCTCTCTCTCTCTCTCTCTCTCTCTCTCTCTCTCTCTCTCTCTCTCTCTCTCTCTCTCTCTCTCTCTCTCTCTCTCTCTCTCTCTCTCTCTCTCTCTCTCTCTCTCTCTCTCTCTCTCTCTCTCTCTCTCTCTCTCTCTCTCTCTCTCTCTCTCTCTCTCTCTCTCTCTCTCTCTCTCTCTCTCTCTCTCTCTCTCTCTCTCTCTCTCTCTCTCTCTCTCTCTCTCTCTCTCTCTCTCTCTCTCTCTCTCTCTCTCTCTCTCTCTCTCTCTCTCTCTCTCTCTCTCTCTCTCTCTCGTTCCCGGTCTCATTTAAATAGGAGATTTTCATCGCGCACAGACTTCTCCATCGGCTCGTGTAGAACACGAGGTACGATGTATCGTTCTCAGCATGAATGAACGCGTGAATTGTCGTTACACGAGTCGATTTCGGGGTGGCTCGAAAATCGATAAACTTCTGGCAGGTCTTACGACTAATCGTGATCGATGAGCCGGCGTGCAGTGGCACGTGACTGGTGATCTATCGCGTGGAAACGACCGATCTCGAAACGCGATATATGGACGAGAAAACGTTTCGCCCTTTCGTCAGGCATCGTTCTCTCTTCTTTAACGCTTCGCTTCCAATTTTACCCCCATCGTTCACTCCCTTGTTAACGAGCCGCCCTCTGCCCGTTGAAGAAAAAAAGAAAAATAACCAGATAAAATCTGTATTCGTTGCTGACTGATCTCCGGAATTAGGAGAATCGGGACAAGAATGCAGGGGAACTAATTGCTCCGTGGCTCGAAATACGCATACCAACGCTGTCGGCCAGATAGAAATCTCGGGGAGATCGATGTTCGTTAGTCGTGGGAGCGTATCGATGAGCCTCATTAGGTGATCATCTTTTAATTGAGCCGGGTTGAGGAAGACGCCGCCGACAGACCGCGCGCGATCTCACCTACCGGTTCAACGGGCGACCGGAGGGGATTCTTAAAAATGGAAACTGACTCGTCGTCGACGAGACGTTCCTTATTCTCGATCGGTGTCGACCGGTTTCTCCTTTCTGATCAGCGACGCCTCGGCTGCTCTAAACAACGGCAGAGCGTCGACACGTGTCTCGAAAGCGACGCGAAGCTGCGACGTGTCAACAGATCGCTCCCGTTACGAGGAGAGTGTAAACGTTACTCATTCGCTACCGTTACCTAACGTTCACTTATTATTGTCGCATCTCGTGCACGTGAACCATGCTTCTACAATTTTTCCGTTAAACAGTGTTAATCGACGGACCGAAAAGTAGACGGGGTCGTTCGTTTGCCCTGTCGCTCTATCCCTTATCTTTTCGCTGCACGTTTCCTCCTTTGTTTCGGTAGGATTCTCTGTCTTGAACCTCTGTCGCGCGATATCCGTTCACTTTGACGTCGCTCACAGTCGTGCAATCAGTCCGTTTCGAACAGACGATCCTCGTCGGCCTTTAGATTCGCCGGTCGGTCGATCCGATGCATACCTTTGCACCGTTACGTCTCACGTCGATGGGAACATGGTCGAAAAATTACGTCCGAATCGGTACCGTCTGCTACCTCACCGTCCCAGCTACTCTGTCCCTCATCGGGACAGATGAGAAAGGAACGGGTGGAGGCTATCGAAAACGCTGCGAAACGTAGCTAAGTATAATTGATAAGTACAGAGAAATCGCGAGTGACCGTACGCGTAGGGTGGGGACCCGTCGCCGCCGCCGCCACGAGGGGATGGTCGACGAACGGTTGTTTGACGGCGCGCCGCCGCCGTCACACCGAACCACGGTAAACCTGGTATCGCGTTCACGGTCCACTGCCTCGCGATTCGGGTCTCCACCCTGCCCTTCTACGCTGCCACCAGCTCGTAAAAAAAAGCAGAGAGCAAGGGAGAGAGACGAACCGGCCATCCGTAACCCCCTCGATCGTCGGATTCGAACGGTATCGCGCTGCCAGACACTTACTTAACAGATGGTCAGGGACAACGCGTTCGTCTTACGAATTCCGGCTTCGAAACGTACCACCACCACCACCACCGTGTCCCTTGGTTGACCGCGAAAATTTATTTCACACAATTTGTCACAGAGTTTCGCTCGTTCGCTACCGAGCGTCGAAACATTTTCCAACTCCGCTGAACGAAACGACTCGCGTCGGCGACGAAACACATCTGTCCGTCTCGGTATCGGGCGAACGAGCGAATTCGTGAATGAATCGCGGTGTTCGCCGTTTACCAGATCGGCTCGACTATGCGCCTACTGATCGGCCAACGAGAACAAAACCTGTCTTTCAACGGATAGAGGAACGGAACGAGAAGAAACGCTTGTATCTCGAAGCACTTTCTCCTCGCGTGGAAATGAAAGATCGTGCTCGATTCGTTTCGACGACGCGTTCGACCGCTTTGATTGAGATTCAGCTAGAGACACGCGATGTTGTTCGTCGTCAGCGGATCGCCGCGTGGCGTAAGCAACGGTGTTAAGTAGGTGCGCGTGCAGACAGCTCGAGGCGTTCACCAGTTGACCAAGGGGGTGAGCAAACTTTTTTCTGAAAGGCTCGAATGAGAAGCTGCGGGATTTACTGTGTCGAAAAAGAGGTCACGCTCCGCCTAGGCGCAGGTCTTTTTAATCATCTTGTCACGCTGGCATAATCCGTGCAAATCGTTCGTAAAAATTCTACTCTCTTTCGACGCTCACTATCGACGGATACTCCCGACGACGTACCGTGAGAATCGTACGTTGCGTCGTATTAAAAGTCAGTTGGTAGAGAGCTGAACGCCTGAGCCGAAAAGTTGTTGCGATGCGTTACAAACGGGGCGGAGGAAAACGAGCGGATGCTTTTCTTCTGATTTCTGATTCCCGTAATGGGCATTGGCTTTTTGCCAAGTGGTGAACACGAGCCATTGACGCGAGGATCGCTTATCAGTTGCTGAGTCCGCGTTATTGCGTCGATGATGACCAACCGAGCGGTTGCCGGCGATGTTGCTGTCCCCGTGGCACCTAGATGCCCCCACGTCTCGTAACTCGCCAGATATCCGTTTCGCTATGCATATATGAAACGACCATTACGACGAATGACCAAAGTAATCGCGTCGGTGATATTGACCCTTCGTCGATTGCGAAACGCGTAAACGACGTAACGCGTAAGTGTTTGCCGCGCAAAAATTTCCCCCGTTACCATTCGCCACGAGCCGGTTTGCTCGGTAAACGGATCGTTCGAGCGCAATAACTCGTACCTACCTGAACGTGTACGGTGGAAAGAGAATTGGCCTGAGGTGATAATTTTTACCTCTCTATGTTTTAATGTTCATTTTTATTTACGACCACTTGGGTAAGGGTTTTATGACTCTTTGTTTCTACAAGGGTAGGTCAGCGTCTGATTATCAGATGTTTTCGGTGGTACACGACCATCGGAAAATGCCCGATATCGGGACAGACATTCTCTCCGACATGAGACGCAGAACGATCTTACAATTAGTCGTCGAGACATTGACATCGAGCGAAACAACAGTCATCGCTCCCAGTGTAGTCGTAATTTTGGTACTCAATTCTAGTTGAGATTATCAAACTGCAAGTTTCGACAAAGTGTCGAGTATTTATTTCATCATTAGTATTTAGTTCATCCCAGCAACGAGCATTTAGGCATTTTAATTTTGTCGATTACGTAGACAACGAATCTAAATATCTGCTTGGACTAGGCGCCGCACACTACGGATCGAAGAAACGCGCTTCAGTTAACGAGATACGAAATACTTATAAAAATAGAATGAAATTAATGTGCGTGTCAGAATTGAAAGATTGCGACAATGATGCACGACCAAGAATGACCGAACGTTCATTAGCACTGATGAACGCTGATACTTAATCGATCCGCAGCTCTGATCTTTCGACGGTCGAACAATTCAGTTATTTGTATTTGCCGATAACGGTGAAGGACGGAGGCGAGGATCGGTCGAGCGGGAAATGAGACGAATGGAAAGAACGATGTTCGTCAAAGAGACGACTGATGACGACAGATGACGACAGATTCGTTACCTGGAGACACCGGGGAGAGACTGTACTTAGCCGTGCTGATAGATGCAGGAACTGGTGGGAACTGCTGCGGACGCGTTTTAAATACGGTGAAAGGAAATTGCGTCGGCGTCGCAGTGGTGCCAGCACGAAAATATGTACTCGACAACGTTGTGTATTGCCGCCGCAGGTCCGCCGCGCTGCTGCCGCGCTGCTGCCGCTGTTGCTGCTGCCTGCCGCTGCTCCCTCCAAAACTGCGCGTGTATTGGCAGCATTGTTTTTTGGTAGTTTACAAATAAAATGGCCGATATATGAGGCTATTTTGTATGGACAATAAAATATGTAATTCTGTAAAATTAATGACCACCGGCCGCTCGTGTACGTACGTGAAAGTATAGGTTCGGTGCCACGAAATAGGATAAAACAAGGTGAAGTGTGAGTGAGCGTGTGGGAGTGCCGTGAGACGAAGGTGGAGGTTGTCTTTCAAGACCCGTGGACGCCGCGGGCCCGAACGACCAAAACGAACCATCACTCACGGGCTCTGATACATAAAAAAGTCGTCGAACCACCGTATTTTTGCATTGGCGCGCGGTGGCGCGGTGGCAAACGTGCGAGAACGAGCGTAGATTTAAGGAACCTAGGTTTACACCGCACAGGCCCCCTCTGCCGCCTGCCGCGTTTCTACAGGCACTCTCGCCTCGCTTCCTGAGCACCGTCGTGTGTTCCCAAGTCTGCCGAGACAACAACACTTGGGAACACCGTGCATTCGATGCGTCCCGCTTCACAGATGACAACAGACGCATGGCGTTGACCGCCTTGCCGTCTTCGTTTTATGCATTCTGAACGTTGTACATGGTTCGTCGACAGTGGTCGAAATCTTGGACATTAATGCCTGTACGTCGAGGCCCGTAGAGGCAAATATGAGTCCGAACTTTAAAACCCACAGCTGAGATACTGGAGTGTCACGGGTACGTTTACTTAGAACCTTTCAAAATATTTCCCTCCGACCAATTTGTTGTAGTGGAGAGAAGTGGTGCAGACGATGCATTGACAGAGACGGAGGGGCCTACGAGCAGTGCGTCCAGCCAGGCCAACCCCTCCGTGATCTCCCTGTCAAACATGTGCACCACTCCCGGCAATGTGGGCACAGGATTTGGATATGCCTGGTCCTTTGGCGGGCCTGGATCGGAAACTAGAGAAAATGCACAGGGTGAACTTGCCACGAACATTAGTTACGCAGTGAACAATAATCAGGACCAAGGATCGAGTCAGAAGATACAGGTCGACATTAAACCTACTAAAGTTGCCAATAGTACGCATCGTAGACCAATGTTCACTATGAATGAAACTTGTCAACAGACCCCGACGACCCACCATACAGCCGGAGCTCATAATCAAACCCACGGCACTCACGTTCGTACCAAGAAACATCACGACGTGTTCTCGTTAACGTGCGACAAAGGCGGTTGCAACTGTGATGCGGCACATCCCGCGCCACCCTCTCTGTTTTCGAACACTTTAGTCTTTACCACAGCAGACAAACACGCCATGAGTAAGCATTTCATGACGCCGATCGGACCACTACAACTCACCGCGGAAGAGTGCAATGAAATTCTGATGAAGAGAGCAGCGGCCGCCTCGAACCAGGCCAACGTGAACAATGTGGCGACGAGCCAGACGGACGGCACCGCTCATTTCGGGCACGTCTTGACGCACGTCAATGCCACGCAGATCGAGACCAAGGTGAAACAAGACATGGGGAGCCAGGTTCGCGTACCGAAAGAGAGGCCGTACTCCTGTTCGGAATGTGGCAAGTCGTTTCTCCTCAAGCATCACCTTACGACACACGCGAGGGTACACACGGGAGAGCGACCTCACGTTTGTGTTCACTGTGGCAAGAGTTTTGCACACAAACATTGTCTTCATACTCACCTGCTCCTCCATAGTGCTGACCGACCCTATCAATGTCGCGAATGTAAAAAGTCTTTTACCCTGAAACACCACCTTGTGACGCACACGCGTGTACACACGAGGGACCGGCCGTTCATCTGTCAAGAATGCGGCAGATCGTTTCCCCTGAAACGTCATTTAGTGACGCATAGTAAATTCCACTCCGGCGAGAGACCTTTCGTCTGCGAGGAATGCGGGGAATCGTTTTCCCAAAAGGATCACCTCACGATGCATTCGCGCTTCCACGGCAGTCTACATCCGTTCGTTTGTCACGATTGCGGTGCGACCTTCCAGAGAAAGTTCGAACTGGTGAACCACGGCCGTCTCCACGGCAGAATCCCGCATTCGTGTACCGTTTGTGGAAAGGAATTTCTTCAAAAGAGAACCCTGCTGGCGCACATGCGTCTGCACACAGGGGAGACACCTTTCGCGTGTACCGTTTGCGGGGAAGCGTTCGCCAGGAAAACAGACCTGGTTACCCATTCTAAGATACACAACAACAACACGAATACGGACACGGAGAAATCTCTCTTGTGCAGGTAAGAGCTTCAATAGTTTTAACTTGTCCACCTGTTAATCTTACATTTACGCCCGCGTTTGTCGCGCTTCAGGGAATGCGGATTGGACTTCTCGAATCGAGAAGCTCTCACTTTACACTTAAGGTTACATTCTGGCGATCGTACGCTCGTTACGGATCTTTGTGGATTAGCAGCTGCCTTCCAACAGACTCCTGGACACTTCCTTACACCCAACACCCCCGGGACTCATCAGGTATTAAAGGTGTTAGCGTGAAACGCGGACCTTGTACGTTACAGCTGATGAACAATTTCCAGATGAATGGACCTATCGGAAATCCCGGCGTCAGTCACATGCACGGTGCCACGCAAACGTCACCACCTGTGGGAACAGGTCCGAAACCAAAGCCGCACGTTTGCCCCGACTGCGGTCGCGGTTTCGCGCAAAAGCATGGCTTGTCTCAGCATCAACGACGCCACGCGGACGGCAGCTGCCACATACGATCGCACGTCTGCGACAAATGCGGCAAGGCGTTCTACCAGAAGAATCACCTGTTACTGCATCAACGTCAGCACATGGATCCCCCTCCTAGTATACTTAGACAACAACAGAGACAAGCCGCTCAAGCTGCTGCGCAGCAGCAACAGCAGCAGCAACAGGCGCAGCAACAGCAGCAGCAGCAGCAGGCCCAGCAGCAGCAGGTACAAGTGCAACAGGCGCAGCAGCAGCAAGTACAAGTGCAACAGGTGCAACAGCAGCAGCAGCAGCAACAGCAGCAGCAGCAGCAGCCCCAACAGCCCCAACAGCAGCAGCAACAGACAACGTGCACGGTAGACACGAAAACGATACAGCTTCAAACGATACAGCAAGTGCAACAACAAGTTCAACAACAGGTGCAGCAGCAGGTGCAACAGCAACAGCAACAAGCGTGCCCTGTGGACAGTAAAGCGATACAGTTGAACGTCACTATGTGAGACGATGTAGAAAGTGGGGATTGGTCGATCCCTGGAACAATAGCACTCCCAAATGCGCACCCTGCTGCCACCCTCTGCACGCACTTCTCTTATACTAACATTACACGTTAGATATATTTATTATCTATAGAAACGAATACGAAGTAATCAATTTTATTACAAGAGTATATATACATATTATATTCTAAAAGTGTAAGGCTTGTAACAAGAAAATAAAAATAATCATATATTAGTGTTTTACATATACTTTATATATCATTTACTCTAGGTATGTAAAGTGATACTAAACAAATTAGTTGCCTTAATGAGATAAAGAATTTTAATGATTATATATTAATTATCGTTTGGTGAAACTTCTTTTTTCGTTTAATCTTCTTTTTTATCAGTAGGACGTTACTTTATAAGGAAATACATATTGAATAAACAAACGTAAAAAAATAAGTTTCATTTATGTACTACTGCTTTGTTGTTATCCTTCATGCTGTGCTTGTATGGTGAAAGTCGAGAGGAAACGTTGATCGCGAGTGTTCGGTAAAAATTGAAGCACGTAAAATATGTGTTAAGGAAGAGAGGAAGGAAGGAAGGGCTGAGAGAGAGAGGGGGTGGCAGACGCAGCGCATTTATGGTGGATTTAAAATTGTAGGTCTGCCCGAGAGAAAACAAAGAGAAAAATGAATATTATCTTAAAAGATATTTTTCATCTTACGGTGATCCGCGCAATTTGTTTGACAGATTGTAGAGAGTTGAGAGAGCAAAAGCCTTATGAAAATCTATATTTCATTGAACGGTTGTCAATAATGGTTATTAACCTTATGGAATATGATTCGAGCGAAATTCGAATCGTTAAGATCGTTTTGTTCTTTGTATACAATCGACGGTGTTTCGATTCCTTAAAACTTCCGTACTTCGTTATGTTTTCGACATCGACTTTTTTACTTTATACCGATATCGAGATATGCGTGAAAGTCGTTGAAATATTGTCACAAAAGTCATTCAGCATAGCGAACTTTTGTAATAGTTTTGTCAGAGATATGTAATAGCTGATAGAATTGCGCAAAGAAGTGAAAGAAGTAATAAAGGTAGCTTTCCTACATAGTTTTAACATACATATATATTTTTTCCAAACGGATACGAACGGATGACGCGTTTTTGCATGAAGCTGAAAACAAATAAAACGTGACTCGAGTAATGGTCGCATTTAGATAAAATAATAAGAACGATGAGAGAGAGAGAGAGAGAGAGAAAGAGAGCGAGCGAACGAGAGAGAGAGAGAGAGAGAGAGAGAGGAAGAGTTGTTAGACGATTAAAATATTGTAAAACGAGCTTTGACGTGCCTTTTTTCAAGCTCTCGTCTGAACTACCTTTACTCTTTCTATAATTCTGCTTCCGCGTGCATACGAGTTTTCAGTTTTGTTTCCAGTGCCTTGCGAAGAGCGAGCATGTAGATTTTCATTTAATTTTGTTTGTGCAATATACGAAGTTTACTCTGATCACTTCTGTTCTCACAATCGACCGATTCGAATCTGACAGATGCGTATCGGTTCGCTATTGTTCACAAGTTCAAGCGTTCCGACTTCTCGCGCGTTTTGTTCAGTGACGTGTGGTGGTCAAAGGAGGAGAGAGAGAGAGGGGGGAGGGAGAGAGAGAGAGAGGTAACGACAACGACGACGCTCGTCGTCGCCGAGCGGCCTCTGGCGGCGATGTCCGGAGAGAGGGGATGCAGAAATGGCGCATGCGTTTCGGTCATCGTATATCGTCCCGCCTGCAGACGAACCGAAATAAATCGAACGACGCCGAGCCGATCAGCAGTACGGTGATCGCTGGATGCGACTGTTTCGCGTTAGTGATGATCAAAACGAGTTGTCGTCGTCGTTGTTTGTGGCATTTTGCGAAGACGAAGAAGCCGTGATCCGTGATCGAGAGCTCGAGACGGAGAAGAGACCGAGGACACGCATCGTCGCTCGTTGCCGCGGCCACGGATGCATATGGAGGTGCGTAAACCCTTGTTTCGGTACACCCTCGACTTCCCGTGCACGCGTTCTTTGTTTGCTTTGACAGCATCGTGTACGCTTCCGTCTCTCGGCCACAGCCATTTTCTTGCGGGTCCAGTGTATTTTACGAAGCGCGCGACGTGCCTCGCGCGACGATCGAAAATGCAACCGTTGCACTCGCCAACGGGGAATTGTTATTACGACGAGGCCCCGATCGGTGTCCCGAATCGAAAGATCGTTACTCGCGCGAGAGAGACCCTTAAATTTGGCATGTCGCCTCGAACCAACCTTTCCCACACGATTAACCGTGCGTTTTAAACGCGATCTCGGGACGAATGCGTCCATACTGTTTTCATTCGGTCGGCCCGTGGAAACGACGCAGTATAGTATTTTTTCATTCCTCTGGCTGGTGGTGCGTTCGGTGTGCGATCGTTGAGAATCGTTAGCTGCCAGGATCGTCTCGAGGCGAATAGGCGCGCGTGAATTTTGCACGACGGTGAACTCTCCCTTGGAAACAGGCCGACGATCAAACGTACGTACGTATGTCCGTGCGCATACGGCATCGGTCTTTGTGTACGCTCTCAGCTGACGGGAGCCTGTCAGCTGCCTTTACATGAGAGAAGATCAGGGCCGTCGCTTCGTGGCGTTCAACGTGATTTTTCGTCGATCCGTTTATACTCGAACGCCACCAACGCCATTTCGCCCCGATATTAATTAGAACCTTTTCCACCTGGTAACGATGCAATAATCTGCCATGTCGAACAGCTCTGTCGTCACGTACGCACGTGTGCGTACGACGAAAACCTTTCGTTTCGTCGTCGATTGATCATCTTATTACCGATCTCCTCGCGCTTCTCCCCGAACGTGCGATCGCATTTCCGAGTCAGTTTCACGACAGTGTCCGTGTTGTCTTTTCTATCCTTTTTCGCCTTCGTGTACCGAGCATCATTTTTCGTCCAAGTGCAATGTCAACGACATCGTGAATACGCGCATTCGCGACAGATGAATTTCGTTGATACATCGACCGGCAATGCCACCGAGATAATGCGCGATGCCTTGTTTTGTACACAGCCACAGCTGATTCGACCGCCGCCGCCGCCGCCGCCGCCACCACCGCCATCGCCGTCGTCGCGTCATAAAAACATTGAAACTGTTATCTTTCGATACGCGCTGTACCCTCTGCCGCGAACTACGACGTTTCTTCTTTTCGTCGTGTACGAGCGTACGTAGAATGGCTTCGATCGGTCTGAAAGAACCTACATACGTATACCCGACGTACAGCTTGTGGTAAAGGCTAACGATAGCTGAACGACGGTCCGAATCGACGTAACGCTTGGGGCCTAGCTCCTCCGCCCGTTTCCCCGAGAGCACCAAACGATTCCATCGATCTTTCTCTCATAAATGTTTGGTACAGTTTATCGACACGTTCGACGTTTAACATGCCTCCTGGTCGCACGGTTTCATTTCGTTCCGTTTCTAGAAAAATTCAGTTGCCAACGGGAATGGTTCGATTATCAAGGGTCACGTTTGTTTTCATTTCTGGCTATATATCGATCGTAATTTAACTACACTCGAGTCGGCCGGGAACACCTTTTGCATTTAATAGAATCGTCCGGTCCGTGGACTCGTGTCGAACAGAAAGTGCATGCATTTGTCACGATGCAATTCGCTTTGAAAGCGGTGGCGGCGCGTCCGTCCAGGACGCTTTACGTGGAAAATTAAATATGCGCGACGAGTGACGAAGGACGATGACCCGAATTAACTAAACTGGAAGCTGCTGCTCTGCTCTGCTGCGCCGCTCGTTCCTCTCCCGGTATTTATTTAAGTTGCAGTGGTGTAGCCCCGCACGATTTCCGTCTAGCCGCAGCAGGGCAGCGAACCGACCGCTTCCTCCGCGTCGCAACGACAAAACGCGTTCTTGGCTCTTTTGTTCGCGTGCGACGCGTCCACGCCGCTATACCTACCGATTCTATCTTCGAGAAAGCGTCTTAAAAATCTAACGCGTACCGCACCGATCATCGTCGTACGCGTTCTACTCGATTCAAAATTTCGACGCACGGTCACCGCGATGGATACGCGAACGGTCCAGTAAAAAGAACAGTCGTTGTTTAAGGATATATTGGCTATACAGTCAATCCCAAAAGTTTATGTACCTTAGAAAAACGCATTTCCTATAATTAAAAAGAAATCAGACGTCGGAAGAATAATGCTAATAATAAATAGCTACGTGCTAAAAAGTATAGAAGGAAATATGCAATTAAGNGTCGTGCTCTACAAGAAAGGTCCTATGCAATTTTCCCGTATCTCCAAGGGTTTAGGAGTTATGGGCAAAAAACGAAAATTTCACAAAATCTGAAGGGGTACCCCTTGGAAAAATGTCGGAAAAATCGAAAAAATTTTTTTGTTGTTTATTATTAGCAATGTTCTTCCGATGTCTGATTTCTTTTTAAAAAATGTGTTTCTAGAGTGCATAAACTTTTGGGATTGACTGTATAGCCAATACATCCTTAAATTTGCCCGAAGGAGGAACTAGTGCGAGTCAGCGAAGCTAATTGTTATTGTTCGCTAGTATTGCGTCGCGCTTCGGCGCCAAGTGCGCTACACGATCGTAACGGGATCAATGTGTCGTTCCTTTTACATCGGAAAAATGCGTATACAGAGTCTACTTATTTTGATGAACGCGCGCGGCCATCGCGCGGACCTGTTGGACGACGACGCTTTTGTGTACGTGTAGCCGTGTCACAGCTGATTGGGCCGTCAGCTGAGCTAGGTCGCGCTCGCGGTAGATAAAACCGTGTTGCCCCGCAGCCTGGCCGAAGCACGTTCGAGAACGCTTGGGCCTTGTTCTTCGTCTCGCCTCTTCTCACCTTTCCCGATCCCGCTGGGGGGATCGTGTATGCGTCGTCGAAACCGACAAGATCTTTCGTCCGCTCCCTCCACAACGCGATGCCTCGCTACGTCACAAGCACATCCTGATCCTTGCGACACCGCGGAAGCACGGACATCGTTAATGACCCCTAATTCCGCGAACGCGTTTCTAGCTGATCACGTTCGTCCGCGAAACGTGACGGCATGCAAACAGCACGGAGATACATATACCCATTCATGACTCGCGGAGTCATCTGTAAACTCGAATCGGGAACGTGCCTTCGCCGACGTATTATTTTCTTCGCGAGCACTCGATTAAACCCGGCTCTCACGGCGCGGTGGGGCTCGCGATCAAAAACCTCGCTGTCATTTATCGCTTCACCGCTGTCGTCGGTTCGTTGCACGTGCGTGACCTGCGCAATGTCGTTCCGTTTGCTTTTTCTCTTTGAATTTCTCTGTAGGTGCCACGGATCTGCTCTCGTAGTCGACGAGTCGACAAATCGTTCGGTACCTGTGTGTACCCGGCGGTGACCCTCGTTCTACCTGTGCGTATATTTCGTTCCCTTCTGTATTCCCCGACCGAAGATCGATTATTTCACAAACTGATCAGACGGACGGATTAGATGTCACTTTTTTGTTTTCTGCTGATTCCACTGGACGATCCCATGCTGCGATACTTGGCTATAGATTGGATTATACTGTTTATCTTGAACGTCGTACGTACGTGCGAGCATACGTACGCGTGATAGGTCGTCATGTGTTGGCCTGTGTCGTGTCTCATTGTTGGAATAACAGGGATACGAAATAAGTATGAAGTCCATTCACTGTTGTACGCGCTAATTAAAACGTTTCGAATCGAGTCTCCGTTACGACAGATACTGCAAGCGAATAGATCACGTTTTATTACGGTGCGCTCCTTGTACGTTTTATCTCTGCGCCGATTGTGCGCAATTAAGATTGTCCGCGATGCCTCGGGTTTGCTGCTTGCCGCGTAAAAAGAAATCCCGTTTCCCTTCAGCAATATGAATTTCCCGATTGAACATGATTCGTCGCGACGTCTCTTTTTCATCTTTCTCTCGAGTATGTCGCAACGTCGTCGTTTACCTGTACGACAATTGGAACATCGGTCGTCTCCCAACGTCGCTGGGAAGAGGAGAAGCGTTCCGAATCTGTGGATCGCGGTGCACGTTTATCATCGTGTTGGACTGTTTTTGTTTGATTTCACTCGTAGCCGACGAACCAATAATCGAAGCCGTACGTGTTGCGTGTATACGTACATCTGGGTGAATCCGCGCGCGCGTGTTTACTCGTGGCTGCTCTGGAACACGTACCACCCGGGAGAGGGAAAACCGGACGGGCGAAACGAGGATGAAGAGAAGCTCCGATAGTCTAATAGGGAAGGGGCTATTCGCTTTGTTCTGGCCGTCGTCGCGTCGATTTCCCTGCCTCGTTCTCGTGGCGCGTGTATGAATTTTCAGAGAGCCCACAAGATTAACCACAAGGCGCAGAGAGACGAAATTTAGATCCGACGTTATCGCCGATTATCTCGCTTCTCCAGACGCCAGACGCCAGACTACCACACGCGCGTATCGTATCGTCGATTTGCTCGGAAGCGTGAATCATTCGTTCTCGCACAATGGAATGCCTATCGGCTGTGCCGCTACGCAGTACTCACGACTCACGATTTCGAGCCTTATTCTCTGTTTCTTTGTATCGTCGTCCGTCATGCATGAGTCACGGCGAGGCTCACGTTAGATCACAAATTCACGATCTTGGCGTGACCACGCGTAACAAACGGTGAAATTCTGCTACTGCGCTTCGTTAGCAGCGTCGAAAATACTCGCTGCTGCCCGACCGTTCTTTCTTCCCGTGCGCGCCCGAGACCGTTACACCCGTTGCACGTACAGCAATTAGAGCAATTACTCGTCGTTTCTGCATACGGTCCCGTTCATCTCACCGGTTCTAGACGTCTACGAGGATTTATAAGTAAAACGACCGTGCGGACCTTGTTCGCAGCGCGGAGCGATTCGCTTGCGTGCTGAGCGAGAACTCGTTGCGTAAAAGATAAACATATGTACTTTCGCGCTCACGGACTCCGTCGTTCGTCGATTGTCCGAATCTTTTTGAAACGT